ATGTATGTGTGTGTATTATTTCCATTTAAATTTTTATATTTTATATATAACATAGGTAATAAATATGCCTTTGCTTAATATTTTAGTAATTTCAATTTTGATTCCGTTTTTAAAATCCCCAGAGAAGCTGGAGTTAGACATTTTTTCAATCTTTTTTTGTTTTTATTCCGTATATTCAAAACCTTGCAAAATCTCTCCTTATTATCAGTTCACCTTTGAAAATTTGTTTCATTCTTTTAAGAAACAATTTTTTTTATCTGTAACAAACATAAAATAAGGAAATTAATTTATGAAATCTCTCTGATAATAATAATTATAATAAGAAAACTAATAATAATAATAATAATAATAATAAATCATATTTATAATATCTTTATGGAAAATATCCAGTCATTGCATTAACAATTTCACTGCTGCATTGTGAAAGCATTGTTGTGAAAAATAGGAAATTACCATTTACTGGAAATAAATGACTACAAAGATGCTGATGAGGGATTTTTTTTTATAGGCACTGCCATTTAAGTTTTGTTTGGATACTCAAGCTTAAAGCTAAATCACATCATCAAGACATAATAGAATAACAATAAAAAACTATCACAAAACAGGTTGTATTTTATGCTACTGTTTGTCTACACTTATTTGGAAATAGCATTAAGTATTTGGAAATAGCACTAAGCGTTATTTAGTTTATAGTACAAATGTTAGGGACTGACATTTTACAGTGTCTTGAAAATATATATGTTGATAGCAGGTAATATCAGTTTCATAAAGACATAAGTATCGTCACAAAAGCAGAAGTGTTAATGAATAAATAGCCTACCAAGGGCAATAGTGTCATATTCCTTTTCAGATTACCAACCTTGGGACCCATACATTTATCACAGTACCTTTCCACTTTTCAAAACAATCTATAAAGTTTTTCAGAATTACCATCAGCTGCCTCATGTTCTTAACCTTGACCATGGTGTTTCAACAGCAATTTTAATTCTGAGAAAAACATAGAGCCAAATCTGTACTTCTTGGGGAGATGGCAGATCTGGGCGATGTGATGTTTTGTCTAAAATGCTGCATGGGATAATGTCATTGTGAATGCAGGAATCAAACATGATTTCTGTAGAAACATGGCTGTCTCCTTGTAAAGGCCGGCCAGCTAATTTACCTCATTTATAGGAGAGTACCTAATACACCAGGTGGGTTAGTCCCCTTTGCTAGAATGGATCTGCCCAACACATTTGCATGAGTGGACTCTATTCAACCATATATCTCTCTCCATTAAATCACTCAGTGATGTTCTCCAACTTTAAGTGACTACACCAGTCTACCTGCGTATCAAACCACTTTGCAAGTTAACCAATATTCTATACTTTCCAAGTTGAAAATCAGTTCTCAAGATATTCAAAATAGTTGAATACATTCAAGAGAGATCTCATGTCATGAAAATAATTTTTGTTGTGAATTATAACCCAGCACAAAGGGTCAAAAAGTAAACCCAGTGTTAAATGCAAAATTGATAGATTTTGATCTTTCACATTAATAACAATTATTAATAAAAAATATAATGATCACTATATGAGGATGACATGCAGATTCATGAAGGGTTCATATTTTTGGAAGGTGGGAGGCTCTGAATAGAAGTAGTACCTTTGATGTCTGGCATGCTGTATCTTTAAGTGGACAGGCATTACTGGCCCTCAACCATCTAAATCTCTCCTGTGATGGCTTCAAGTTGTTATGCCCTGGTAAACTGTTACAGTTAGCAGGCTAAACTCATGTGAGGGGATTGTGTTAACATGGCACCACTGGATGAAGGACCTTCTTGAAGCAGGTTCCTTAGATGAACTATAATGGCCATGTATTTGCAAAGAAGGCAATCCAACTAGTTGGAGGTCATTGGATCTGGTCTAACCTGGCGAAGGATGTGCTTTGCCAGGTTAAAACAACCAAGACACACAACATGATCGGTACACCAAGAAAATATTCACAGACACCCAGCCTCTTGTACACGCCCATGACATGGGGATTAGTGGACAACTAAGCATGTTAGTGTCATTGTCAGCATCCCAATGACTCCTTCCAGGTTTAGGGTGAATGATGAAGAAGGATATAATATAAGGATCAAGATTTCTCATTGTGGGTGTGTTTTCCCTATAACACAGCAAAAACTGCACATTATAGCAAGACATTCGTGAGAGCAACATGATTAAAATACCCTTTTTTACTAAGGATGAAATGAAAATCATATCAACATTGACAGAGAAAAAGAAATGACCAAGTAGCCTTATTTTATGCAAAAATTATTAATCTTTTTATTTCTTTACCATTTCCAGCCTAAGGATTTCCACAATTCTCTACAAAAACAATTTTTCTAAATTTTAAGCATGTATGTTCAAAAATCATTTAACTTTAACCTTCTGCTGATTAGGGCAGTAATTCCCAACTGTCAGTATGCAACATGATCCTCTTAAGTTGCTGTTAAATATTGTCATGGCATATATATATATATATATATATATATATATATATATATATGTATGTATGTGTGTGTGTGTGGAATTAGTAATGGTACAGTGTTAGTATTTGAATAAATGAATAAGTATTAAACTTTTTATCCCACAAAAGCTAAAAAGGTTTTATCAGTTTTATTGCAATTTCCTACTTTTTATTTATGTGAATTAAGCTTCTCAACCTTAAATAACATCAAAAATAAGGAATGAGAAAAACTATGCTCAACTGAAGAAGAAACAAGGGTTTGCTTATCACACATTTGATCAAACATTGAAGAAATTGTGCAAAAGCACCAGGATCAAGTTTTACACTAAATAAGCTGCATAAATAGTTTAACAAAAACATTGAAATAAATTAAGTTCATATTTGTGTGTGTGTAATTTTTTTAAAAAAGAATCTATAATTTTATTTCCTAACATTTAAATGTATATCCTTTAAAAATTTTGCTATTTGCTCATAGGTATGCTGTTGCTTAAAAAGGTTGAAAACACTGGATTAGGGATTAATAATACAAGTGTCAGAAGTACTTAATAGTACAATCAGAAAGAGGAAGCTGAAATTTCTAGGAGATATAATGAAAAGGGAGGGTATAGAGAATTTATCAGTGACAGAATATGGTTCCACCAATGAATACTAAGAATACTGTGGACAGAACATGTGAATAACAAAGAAGGAAAATAAGAACAACAAGTAAACTTATACATACAAACAGAAAGGGACAACTGAAATTTCTGGAACATATAATGAGAAAAGAGGGAAGATAGAATCAAACACCCACTGGAAATATTGAAGATAATAGAGACAAAGAAAACAAAAAATAAAATCTAATAAATTTATGTAAATGGATGACAGATGATAAATATTGCATAGAGCTATAAAGAGCAGGAAACCATGGAGAGCCATGTGCTGAGGGAACATAGCACATACAAGTAAAAATAAAGTTAACTTTTTAAATGTAGTTGGAGTTAGGCTAATTATAGAGTTGTCTCCCATTATTTATTTATTGAAAGCTAATTACAATTTAAGTTCTCTGAACAGGAAACATAACACTGAACTTTGTAAGTTAAACAAAAAGTCAAAACAAGACACTTCTGTTTTGTTTATCAAATATAATTAATTTCTTATCTATTTTCTTTGGGGTTTTGTTAGTTGCTTGTTTACAGCAGTCAGTCCCCTTAAAGATTTTCCTACAATCAACCATGATATAATTTTTTCTTATCTAAACTTTGCAAATCTTTCTTGGTGGAAACAAAGAACAATCAAAAGAAAAAAGATGCTTTCAGGAACAGGATTTAAAAAAAAAATAGCTTTTGTTTTTCATTTCTTTGTTCGTTCTTTCTTTTAAGCTTAGCTTGTGATTAAATACTTTATATATTCATCTTCATCATTCCATTTTGAATACCTGTCAGACTCTCTCTTTCTTTTCAAAGTATCTTGCCATCTATTTCCTCTTGTTCATCTTGCAACTATTTTTTCATAACAAATGCTGTCATCACTTGGGTAACCATCACACCCTACTAATCGAAAGTTAGGTGTCGTTTTTCACATAGTCAAAATTATTTTTTTAGGATAAAGGCATAGAAAGTCAAAGTGATGAGAAGACAATTTTTTTTGGTTAAGTTAATAATAATAATAATAATATTAACTGTTTCCTTATAAGGAAACATTTGGTGTTCATTGACTAAGCAGCAAGTACTGCTGTAGGTAGAAATTTATAAAATCATTTTTTAAAAAAATTTTTTTCAGACGCTGTTATCACTCTTTCCATTATTGATTGTCACCATCTTGATTATGTCATTATTTTCTCTTTGAGAAACATGTGCTTTCCATTTTAGTTGTTGCTGTTGTTGAAAGTCCTCAAGGGATGTGGTTTCTGTTATTTGGTTCAGTTCTTTGTTTGTGATTCTGTATAGTGCCAATATTTGAAGGAGAACGATTTTTACCAAGATCTGCAGGCTTCAATCCCTCAAAGCCATTTTTAACCATTGATCTAAGGAAGTGGTTGTATACAACAGGTATTTTAGATATTTCTGAACAGGTTTGGTGACATGTATGACATTCGTATGTAGGTAGTATTAAATGTAAGTATTAAGTTAGGTAAACCAACTAAAAGACTATGGAAGTAAATCCAGGGGAGTGGAACCTCGAAGGCAGTTGGCTTTCAACACTAAAATCTGTCCTCAAATATAATGCCTTGTATTCCTTTGGATCTTGTTGGTCGAGAGGCGGGGGGAGGGGGAGCCATGTAGTTTAGGCAGCACATTGCCTCCCTATACCATCACCCATGACTGCATCCTGAAGAGGTCACTCCAATCTCACCACCAAAGGGCTAAATATTGACCAAACAGAGTGCTTTTCTTTATCTCACAACGTAAATAGATAAGGTAGGTATTATTAAATATAAGTGTTAAGGCAAGTAGTATTAGATAGAAATATCAACATGGATAGTATTAAAAAGAGGTATTAAGGTGTATAGTATTAAATGTAAGTAGGCCTACAGCCATATCATATTGAAACACTAGTTCCTGTATGATCACCGAAGTTAAGCAATGTTGAGCATGGTCAGTACCTAGAGGAGTGATCACTTGGAAATACCAGGTTCTATAAACTAGGATTTGCAGGTGGTGTAATGGATAATTGCTTGAAATTTTTAATTGGAGAGCAAAGTTTCAATTTTTGTCAGGTTCTGTTATAATCCCTTACCTGCACTATACACTCTTCTCCCACCAGCTATGGATTAATTAGTAAGATTTGTGTAACTAAATCATTATCATCTCAAAAATAATTTCCTACAATCTAACAATATTTTTGGGCTTTAAATAACCAGCAAAGGGTTGATAAACCATAGAAAATGAATGAATTAATCAATAAATGGATATTTTAAGGTGGGCAGTATAAAATAGAAGTATGAATGAGACAGTTGGAGGGAAATTGTTGAAGTTTAAATTCTATCATCTGCTTTCTGCCCTTCACATCACACTATAAAAAAGTTAGGAAAATTTAAAAAGAAAAAATAAACAAAATCAATTACCCTTCAATGTACCTAAGTCTAATTTAAAAGAAAAAAAACAAACTTCAATGGTATTTTGCATTTAATGCAATTTAGTCATTGCATTTTCAACAAGCTGGTATTTGAAAAATTCTTTACACCCACCCAGTCTCTTACTAATTAAACTGGTATCTTCAGCTTATAACCCTTCCCAACCACCCTAGTGAATTAGAGCTGAATTTCATCAGGAGTGATTGAGTCTGCCAGTAGCATTATCATCATTAACAGCTAACATTCCCCCCCCCAATCAAATTATTACTGCTATCTTTATAAACTACCCTATCATTGTCTTAATAAGTTCTATATGCACGTAGAAGCTTGCCCCAAATAAAATAAGAAGTAAAGGAAAATTGAAGAATTTAAGTTTTCAAGATTTTTATTGGTTAGGCCCATCCCTCTCATGTCAACATCAGAAAAAAAAAATTTAACGTGATAAATATATCTATATTTCTGAGATGAGGTATTATACACACTACTTACATTATTCGGACTATTGTCCACATCATTGTTGTCATATTTATTACAACATTTTGGCCATTGTATGCTCCGGCCTTCTTCAGGTGGTTGGAATGTCGAACTGAACCCTTTATTTCGCTCACTGTGGTAGACTGTTCTAGTTCCACATGCCATGGCACAGTGGATAAAGGTATTGGTTAGATCCAGTGACAGGACCCAAAGAGTTGTGAGGTCAATACCTGGTTAAGGCAGTGGAGAACTTGGAGAGGGGAATTAACAAGAGATAACTGATAACTGACATCCATTAGACATGGCATGTGGAACTAGAACAGTCTACCCCAGTGAGCGAAATAAAGGATTCAGTTCAACATTTTAACCACCTGAAGAAGGCCAGAGCATACAATGCCTGAAACATTGTAATAAATATGACGACAATGGTGAGGACAATAGTCTGAATAATGTAAAGAGTGTGATAAATATAATGTTTACTTTTTAATCAATCTTACATTATTAAAACGTAAAATACTTCATCATCCTTTTTTATACTATTTTTCTCTCAATACGAGACCCAAGAGCCACTCAAGGTAGAGGATTTCTGAATGAAGTTGTTGTAAGTGCATGCAAGGAAGAATTTTTAAAAAATTATTCTTATAATTCTTTATCATTGATATTTTTATTAATGTTTATTGTTTGTATTATTATTAGTAGTAACAATAATAATGATGTAATGAATATGCATACACCTGGGTTCCCTCTCACATTAATATGATTGGTTGGTGTCAGCCATAAATACAGACTAATGTGGAGGTACAGGACGACACCTATTGGCTATGCCTATTGCCTACGCCTGTTGCCTACCACTACAACGAGGACCAGTCATTATGATTACCTGCTAGATTGTCCTATCTGGTTACAGTAGTCAACAACCACTTTGCTACTGCAAACAAATATATTCCTTTCCGGGACATATCAAATAATAATCATAATAATAATGTTTAATATTTATAACACGTTTATTGCTTTGTAACTTTTCCCTTCATGCCGAAAAGGATCTTGAGAAAGAAATCTAAACTATGATAGCATGTTCAGAATTGTTGAAAGTTCCTATCCTTTTACTGGAAAACAATCAAACTTAGAATAAAAATATTTCCAAGAGTTGTTCAAACTACAAAACTCGTTATTTGTATTGCTGAATGAGCCAAATCAGTTGTTACATTTCTTTTATAATTACCAAATTTTTTTGTCAAAAAGATAATTTTTGCATATTGCACATTCAAAGAAGAATGGATTGACCAAAAAGTCCTGGCAACATCAAATGAAATATAAAGAATGAGTCAATATTCTAGACAACTCTTGAAATGGTAATGAATCTTTAAATTATAACCAATAGGAATACAATGAATTCTGTAGTTTGTCTGCATACAAACTGTACAAAGGATAAAGATCAATTTTATGGGAACACCAATACCAAAATAGGTAGCAATCGTACCCCATAAAAGCCTGACTGCTAACATATGATTAGCTTACAAGCAGATAGCTGATCAGATCTAGAGGACAAAAATATATTAAAAAAACTCTGTATCTATGGATTAACTTGAGTCTACTGTAAGGAATATTACAGTCATATCTTGTTGAATACACTGTTTTTGTTCAATCACTGAAGTTAAGCAATGTCTGGACAGTACTTAGATGGGAGACTGCTTAGGAATACTACATGCTGTAAACTTAAACTGAGTTGATGAAACTCATTAGGGTAAAAAAGAAGGAAAACTCAAACTGATGCTGCCTTGTGTTGAAAATGCAGAGTAGAGTTCCTTAACCATAATGAAAGCAGTCTATATAGAAGAAAAATCTCCAGTGTAAAAATCATATTGTGAGTATATAAATTTCAGATTGGTACCTGTGATGAGTAAACCCAACTTATGGACGGGAAAAACCTTTAAATCTGCCTGCATACAAATTTTTCCAACCCTAGGTGTCAGATTAAGACACTCTCTTCCAATTTGTTTTAAGCCAGCATAGAAATGTAGGCTGGTAAAACTGACATGAAAATGTCAAACTAAAGATTTTAAGACCAGAGGTTGCCATCTCTGGATGTTTGCCATGCAATCAGAAAAGCTGATGTGACAGTGGCAATCAGGAGATCAATCCAACAGCCTTAGTCTGGTGTTTACATTTGACCAGATGAAAATAAATATGGCCACTCAAAACCCTTTGGAAAGAATTCATATTAGTGAACAATCTTCTGAAAACAGAAATAATGAAAAACATGGCACCTGTAAGGAAACTATCATTCTGTTGCTTCACTCCTCCTAGAAAGTTCATGAGAAAGAAATTCAAAAAGAGAGGATTTTCTAAAACTGGATGCATCTTCCTTATTTTGAAACAGTTCAAACTTGGAATATCATTGAAAGATGTTGTTTATTTTTATTTTGAGAATGAAAATTAGAATCACAAGTAGAGGATACTGAGAATGAATGCAGATAATAAATAAAAATTGTCTGTCTTTCTCTTTGTGCTTTATTCCTTCAAGATGTAGATGATCATGTTTATCCACACGTCCTTTCATTTGTTGCTTTCAACAATACTTTGTAGTACTTGTAATACCCTGTTAGGAACTCCAATTCTTTAAATGAAAACAGAAAAACTCATTTCAGAACTCATAGCTCATCTACAGAGCTTCATTTTGTCCATTTTTGCACATCTATTTCCAGAATTCTTTCAAAATTACCATGGTCATAAAACATCTTTTCTGAATAATCAGAAAATGCTGTCATGTTTTTCACAGCAGTCTTTTATTTAAAATAACAATGTCACCATTTTCTTTTTTTGTAAATAGTTAAGGAAGATGCAACAGGTTTGTGAAAAACAGCACATGACTGTCTGGTTCGAATATCAACAGAAAGGGAAATAACTCTTTCAGCTCTTGTGCCCACACATTTGTCAATAATCTAAAATGAATCATATAGAATAATAACAGTAGTAAGTCATTAGCTTTATTATTGTTGGCTTCATCATCACTACAACTGTCATTATTTAGCATATTATTAAAGTTTGTATTTTGAAAGTTACAGAGTCTATCAAGAAGGCTTTATTCTCTTGATAACTGATGGAATACATTTAGTCAAAAGGAATAGGGAAAAGAAGAACAAAGTAAGGAATGAGAGAAAGATTTAAGGGTTCAAATAGGGATGAAAACAGGAATGAGTGAGGGATGAGGTGAGGAAATTAGCAAGACTGTAAATAATTTCTGGGGTGAGGTGAGAGAATTTTCTGGAATGAGGTGTGAGAAATTTCAAATTTCAAAGAATTTTTGAAGTGATGGAAGAGAAGCATGGAGTTGTGATAATTAGAGTAAAAGACACGTAGAATCAGTTTGGGTGGGGAGAAATGAAAAGAAAGAGTTGAAGATGAAGGAAGAAGAGAGAGAGAGAGAGAGAGAGGTGAGAATAGAGATGAAAGTTACTGAAGAATAGGAAGCTTGAGAAATGCCAGTGAAAGTGAAGAAAATAGATAAAGAGAGAGTGAGAGGAGTGGAAGTGTTGAAGAAGTGTACTAAAGTATTAATAGGAAATGGCTGATAATAAAAAGAGGATGATGGGAGAGTGAAGAGAAATGGAAAATAAGAAAAAGCATAACAAGAGATGGATTCAGTAAAGAAGAAAAAAAGATTGAGTGAGGAGGTAAATATAGAGGAAAAAAAAAAGAGAAAACAGAAATTATATAAAAAAAAAAAACAAAACAATAACAAAACAGAATAAAAGATACAAGGAGTAAAAGCATCTGTGGAAAGAGTTGTCTTTCTTACTCATTCAGTCCTTATTAATAAATAGAAGGAAATAATTTTGTCTTTCGTATAACTTCCCACCAACCCTGTCCTGTCCAATTTTTCTGAAATAACTCCTGCACATAATTTGGAAATCAATACATAATTGAAAAGACCTATTTGTATAATTTAAAGGGAAGGAAGCTTTCTGTGTGGAGGAATTTTTGTGCCGAAAAAAGGTTTTTTTTCTCTCCATCATGATTTCTATTCTAATAACTGAAGAATGCCAGAAGGAGTTTCATGCTGGAAAGAATTTTTTTGTTGCTTTGTTTAGAGAAATTGGTCTTCAGTTTTGATAATTGTTTTTTCTTTTTCTCTTTATATTATACTTTTCCTTCTGTATATATTGTTGTTGGGAGTTGGGTGTGGAGGTGGTGAAATGAAGATATGTAAATGAGTATGGCTGGATAGATAGGAGGGGGTGCAGTATATAAATTCAGTTGTACATATGGGATTAAATGCTATGTTAGTTGAAATAGTATATATAAACAGACTGATAGATAAATATATAGATCATTAGTAGATAGGCAGTTTGGTAGATAGATAGGAACATTTTCCCCAAAAGTTGTTAAGTATATTTTACTGAAAGAGTGTACTTTGGCAGCAAATACATATTTGACTGAAAACCATGGAAATATTTCTTCTTTTCTTACAAATGTTTGTATTGTTGATTCAAGATTACAAATGTACTTTCTGATCTTATTTCTCGAAAAGTGCTCACAGCCACTATGACCGTCTTTGGGGAGTAAAGTTGTTTTCAATAAGGGTAGATGTTTGTTTTCTCTAGCGTCTTATTTGGAGAGTTGTAGGGTTATATTACAAATTTGGATTGTTTATCATATCATATGTCATGAGGTTATAATTAATTCATTAGAATGGGGAAAAAGAGCCAAAAGTACTTTGAGAAACAAGATCAAGTAATATATTCAAAATCTTGAACCAACAGTAAAAACTTGTGAGAAAACTAGAAAAAATTAAATTGAAAAATTCCTCTAAATAAATGGTTCTCTGGTTATCTATCTATCTATAGGTATGTATTTATACATACCTATTAATAAGTTTGATACACAATTATAGGTAAAATTTTGATCTGAAATAATGTATAATGTTTGATCACCACTGAATTAAATGCAGCAATAAGGGAGGAGGTTATGTTGAAAAGGATTTATGTAAAATAAATTATTTTTTAATCTGTAGGTTACAGATTTATTGATGCACCAATATGTATGTGTTTATATATATATATATATATATATATATATAGATAGATAGATAGGCGCTTGATCATAGGTTCAAATCTCACTGTAGTTGATGTGTCAGGAAAATGACTTCCTGATGTTATCAGTCTTAGCAGGCAACCTCAGTGTACTACCCAAGTGTTGACCCAAGCCTTTTGAGTGAAATTGGCTAAATGGAATCATTTGGAAGCCATTGATGGTTGTGCACAATGTCACAAGTCATCATGACAAATGGTTTTAATGTATTGGCATTGTTCAAACTGCTGATTATGACAGATTATTTCTCAGAAACTGTCCAGCATAGTTGCAGTATAAAGCACAGGGTCTGGACAAACAAAAATGTGCCTGAGCAGGTATCAGCAACAGGGATTGACTAGCTACCCTAGATAGGTAACCTCAGAAAATGAGTGTAGCTGGTCATTATATAATCGACTCTCCCATTGAGATTCGATGTATGAGGTTCAAGCAGATCAGTTTCCAGGAAATCGACAGCCCGACACCGGCACATGAGATTTGATTATAGTGGTGAAGGCCTTGTGCAGGACCATCCACACTTTTTGAAGGGACGAATACAGAGACCTGGTGCACCGAGTGCCACAAGGTTTCCAAACAACCCTCTGCAGGTTTTGAATTCAGAGTTGTCCTTCTCCTAGACCAGTTGCCATCCAAGGCTATAGAACCCAGTCTGTCCTGCTATTTTACCCATAGCTGGAGGGAGAGGAAGAGGATTCATACCTTTCCCAAGGGTATTAGCACGTAAGTGAATGTATATATATATATATATATATATATAACTGTGTGTGTAAGAGTAAAAATTCTTGTGTGACTAAAAATATATCTGTAAAAGGACAATATGGGTAAAAACAAAAAGAAAATGTTTCTCAGTTAACCTGTTTCATCCTCTGATGGACTTTAACTAATGACATTTTTATTTCTGTGCATAAATATTTCCTGCAAAATAAAATCCTTAAAAGTCCATCAGAGGACAAAATGGCTCAACTAAGAAAAGTTTT